GAGTTTTATTTTAATTTTAATGAATTTTAATTGTAATTTTATTATAATCCTCTGTTATTTCTAAATTGTAAATTTTACAGTTGTTACTTAATATTTCCTGAATGTGCTGCTTTCTTTCCTTTGTTTGACTTTCTTTTTTAATGTGCCGTTTTAATGTAATTAAATTATTGGTAAGATTTGCTATTTTTAGTGGTTAGGGTTAGTGCAATTTTTAATGTTTTCTTTCTGTCTTGAGGACCACAATGGAAATAAGTTTACTTGTAAACTTTCTTGGGTATATTCCTCAGTTTATTCAGTTGATATTGTTCTTTGTACTTTTTATCTGTTTCTGTACTTTTGTAATGTTTAGTTTTTATCTCTGAATGAACTGAAAAAACTGAAATGAAAATGAATTGAAATGAGTGTGACTCCTAGTTAAATATCAATAAAGAAAGAAGAAAGAAAGGTCGTAAATTACTTCCAAAGGAGCTTGTAACATATTGCAGTTCTAAATAATTACTTTTTCCAACATTTGATTGATGTTGATATAAACAAGATGTAATATTCATGCTATTTATAGCAAATTCGTCAGAAGGAATAAACAGGGCTGTAACTTGTGACTGGGGTTTTCGGAAGAGCATCCTATTATTTTGCGTACCGATGTATAATGTTGTCTTATTACCAACAGAACAGGAAATGTCATTATGATTCTAAATTCAAAGTTCTACCTACGTGCTACTGTTATAATTTTGGTGAAAGCCTACAGCACTTATCAGTATATGCATGTCGAACATGTAAACACTATGAATATTTTACTCCTGTAATTAGTTAATCCGGTGCGTAGCTGCAAACACGCTCAAACAAAAGTGGGTTGGCCAATTAACAAGAGGAAAATTCTGATTTGCTATGTTCCTAAGATTGTAAGACTATCTGATTAAAGTCTTACCTAAATTAATCAAGTAGATTGTAATGTGGTTTTTTTTCAACCTTGTTTTCAATAAATTTCTTCGTAGCCTTTGTAGGTTTTTATTTCTTCGCATTAAACCGAATAGGCTACAAATAAATCGTAAATAGTATATAAAAAACAAAATCAAGTTAAATTTATTCTTTAAAGTTATTTTTAAATCGAATCCTTCTTAATAAAAATTTATTCTTAGAATACTCTAAAAAATCTATTTATTCTATAGATTTGTCTTTAAAAACATCCAATTCAAGTAGAATTCCAAACCGCAAAACAATAAAGAGGCCTATATTATATTTGAAAAAAATAAAACAATTAAATACAATAATAAAGAGGCAAAGAACAAAACAGGATTAAAGAAATGAGATGGAAGGATATCTCATGGCAAAATTTAAGAATAAGGAGATAGTTATAAAACGAGGAGTAGGCAGTAGCCCCCACCCCCCCCCCCAGTC